AGTAGCCCCATAGTCGGGGTTACTTTGACATGGCATTTAATACGGTAAATAGTCAAAGATAGATACAATAGGGGCTACTTTGACACCATTTAAAGAAAAAAAAACAAGTTTAAAAAGAAATGAGAGGGTTAAAAATGATATTTTTATTAAGAAAAATGAAATATTTATTTTTTAAGTAAAAAATCATAACATATTAAGAATACAACATAAATTCTAATTGAATAATATAATAATAATCATAAACACTTAATCTTCGTCTTCACATCGCTCGCACTCGTACGAAAGGTCCAAAGACCCTTTGTTGCAATTTCCGCATACCCACTTCAGGCACGTGACACAACAGATCCACTCTTTTTTTGATCGATAATGACGAAAGTCACATTGGCAAATCGAGCAAAAATTTTCGTCTTCGGGGGTATCCTTCGTTCTTTTCGAGCTTGATGCCCCTTGCGTATCTTCAGCGGTGTTCCTTTCTTTGGTCGTTGGCACTTCAGCGTTTCCTATGTGTGCCCCTGGCTTATGGGTGAGTTTTTTCCCCCTCTGATGACGAATGCGGTTTGCATTATATCCTCTCGTTTCCTTTAAAAAGTCTAGTAAACTTTCATCAAGAACCCGTCCCGTTTCACTCGTGCTTTCTGAAGGAAGTTTACGGAGAACAACTTGAGGGTCGAAGGGATGAATACCCGTAGCTCGGAAAGCGCTCTTCAAGTTCTTTTCCATGTTGGGAGCCAAGGCATCCATCAATCTCTTCAGTAACACTGGAAACTGTTCTTTGGGTATAGTGCCTTTCCTTCTCGACTCTTGTCTCCATTGATCAAGAACCTTGCGCCATTGTTTTTTCATAGGAGCAAAAATTCCCACGTCGAGTGGTTGTAGCATATGGGTGGAATTAGGAGTTAGTGTAGTGAAATAAATATTGTTATCTTGTACGGTCTTGATAACCTCTGGTGCAAAATGGGACGCTAAATTGTCACCCATTACGACAACTTTTTCGTCTCCTATTCTGTGTTTCTTGATATGTGGTAGAAGGATCTTGAAGAACCAAATCTCGAATTGAAGCATGTCGAACCAGCCACTGCTACTATAACTATAGACAGTTCCTGATGGTCCCCCCTGGATCCAATTGTCGTAGAGATTCTTCGCCTTATAAACGACCATGGGAGGGATCATTTCTCCTCCAGCAGTACCACAGAACATTATGCTTATGGACGATTTTGAATGTTCCTTAACTCTTTCGACCCGTTTGCGACCACGCGGCACTAGAACTTTCTGCGCGCCCGGATCGTCAGTTATGTTCGTCTCATCATAATTATAAATGAGATCTGGGCGTGTCTGTTCCAAGGTCGGTCTCAAATTTTCGAAAAACTCGGTTATTTCGTTAACTCCAACTGATGATCGTGCTATTTTAATGTTTGTAGCTAATCTGTGACTGAGATTATTTCTCGCGGCAAAGTCATTTACAAAATCGTATCCAGGCACGTTACCATGCCACTGTGGAATATTTCTGCCTTGCTTAGACACAAATTTTTCGATTACGCTGCGAATATCTTTTTTTGTCATGGGAAATCCCCAGTCTGCTACGACACCCAATGACAATTATTTTCTCTTCTTCCGGCGTCAAAACTGGTGGATGCCCCGGGTTGCCTTCGTGTTTGTGATGAATCCTATTAAGGATGGTAGTTCGGTTAATTTTGTACTTCTCGGCAGCTGCTTTCTGGCTAAGTTGACCACTTCGAACCTCTTCAACAGCTTTTGCAAGATTTTCATCGCTATAGTTTTTATAACTTCGTGCTCCCAATTTTTTTTTATACGTTCTGACCATGGCAATGCAGAATTCATACTGAGTATGTAGGTACGGTAGTACACCGACCACCTCCCGTAAGACGTCTAAGATGATTGCGCCGGTGCAATCAACCGTTTCCTATTCATTTTATGCATGTGTCAAAGTAGCCCCAAAACCTGTCAAAGTAACCCGTAAAGTCAAAGTAGCCCCGGTTTACGGTACCTCGCATTCTTATTTGGCCACCCTGTACAATTGTACACATCTACATTGTCTAAAACCCAATTAAAAACTGGCAGACGAAATGGTGCACATCGGCTCATGCACTTAGCATACGTAGGGGAACCCGGGGCAAAGTGGCAAGGTTAAGGAAAAAAATATATATCAACATGAAGATTACAGTTTTTCCTCAATTTATTGTTCCTAATTGATAAATATACGTTTCCTTTGTATGCTGAAGTAATATGAATGTTGTAATTCAATAATCTTTTTTTTTATTTTTCTTCAGAGGCACTACAATTTTTCCACTATGCCCCGAGTACGAGGTAAAGTCAAATATGATATGGGGCAATGTGAAAGTATGTAAATTTATTTTAAAAAAGACAACAAATTTATTTTTCCATGTCGCACTGGTTCATAACTATCGAGTCTTCAGACTATTTCATTCCAAAATACTTCGCTTTCATCTGGAATTGGTGAGAAAACGTAAATATTTGTAGATTGTCTGTACCGACGCTGACGCATAATTCAACAAACGTTAGACGAATATTTATTCTACAGAAAAGAGCAATAAGGTTAATGTTCAATCTAAGCTTTCGTGAGTCATGTAGAGAGAATTTTATGTTTTATCAAAGAAAAGATACTTCCTTTCCCGTGCATATGCATATTGGAAGTATTGAAATTTGTAAAAAACAGTATCCGAGATTCCAATGAGCTAAATTCATTTCATTCTTATAACACAAGATACGGCAATGATCTAGCAATAAACAACCATCACACTAATTTATTTAGGCAGAACCCGTATTATATGGGCGCGATAGTAAGAGAAAAGGCCAGAATTGGTCAATAGAAAAGGTGTAGTGTTCCACCACGATAATGCGAGACCTCACACAAGTTTGGTAGCCCGCCAAAAGCTATTACAGCTTGAATGGGATGGACTACCACACCCACCATATTCTCCAGATTTGGCACCTACAGACTCTTACTTGTTCCGGTCTCTGCAAAATTTTTTGGATGGGAAGACCTTCACCTCACTCAAATCAAGACGTCAAATTTCACTTGGACCAGTATTTTGCCAGCAAAGACCAGAAGTTTTATGAGCGTGGAATCAATCTCCTGCCCGAAAGATGGCAAACCAAAATGGAGAATATATAATTTAATAAAATGTTTATACACTCTAAAAAATTCGCGTTTCATTTTCACCACACAAAACGAAATGACTTTCCGAACAACCCCAATACAAGCGATTACAAAAAAAGAAACCTCATCCTTATTTATATCCCTACAAACGACGGTTAGGCACTATTACGGTCCTCAAATGTAGATTAACTGATAAAAGCACACGCAGCTGACATGCAGACCTTTTATAAAAAAATAAACTTTAAAAACTCTATTATATCTAAAGATCTGTTTTGTTTTTCTTTTTTTTTTGTTGTATAATTTGTTCATTTGATATTAATCATCGTGTTACTTTTGTTTTTACCAAGTTTCCTTAATAATGAATATTTTAATTAAATTAATTAAAAAGCTGTTACGATAAAGGTAGAGGGAAACACTATACTACAAATACGGTCTGAATAAAATTAAAATAATGACCAAGTATAACATGAAACGGTGCATTTTCATTGTACAAAAATGAAAGATATTCGCTGTCTGTCCGTCCATTCGTTCAAGTAGGCGCTATGCACTCGTCAAATGTGCATGCATCGTAAACCGCTCGGAAAAGATTCATTTCACAGATATTAACTATTATGGTGAGAAGCGGGATGGTGTTTTAAAATGCGCTATCGCCGTTCGTATAGGTACACTTTTATTACCTACACGTACTTGGAGTTATTTTTAATATGCAGAGATTCAACATTCTCTTTTTTTGGGAAATGCCAATACTGCCGTAGAACCAACCTTTGTTACAGTAAGCGCCGCATGACAAAAGGCTCAAGTTTTAAGCTTAATTCCGATCCATAGTTTTAACGTTTTCATCAGAGCTATAACGAAGCGCCTGTGCTTTAATCTGGATTCAGGAAAAACGAAAACGAATACGTTACTAACAATGCCAAACGATAAGCTTACGAAATGAGATTTGCTCAAAATGCGTGCAGCTATATAGTTTAGAAGTACCGGTTTGCCCACCTTTTTTCTTGGAATTAATTATTGTGGTTTGCGAATTATTTATTTATTTTTGCATATTAAACATTTATTTGGGCTTGTTTGACAAAATTTCCTTTCCATTAGTAAAAATAGACACGTCTAAAGTAGGTGGCTTTAAAATCATTAACTTTTTTGTAGTGGACCAGAGGTAAATGTATAAATAAATCGTCACTTAGAAATCCTAACCACATCAAACCATTTGTGCTACAAGAAAAAAACAATCCATATTTAGAGGTTTTGAGTTATTCGGTTTCCATGCCAGTTGGAAAATTCGTACACGTAAGTGAAGGTGACATAGTAGATCTACTTTCATGATTTATTAAAACCTACTTGTAACAGTAGGTGTCCACTTGGTCAGATTGACACAAGTACATCAATCATAAACGCCGTCTTTTACAAATGTATGTGTTAAACAAACTAGAGCGACCAACTTTGCACGTTCCTACTGATTCGTAATTTTATAACATATAAATTTGCACTTGAGTCGGTGGCTAATCAAGTCAAATTTGTAGTTAATAAATCTTATACTTCAGTTTAATTGGCAGCAGGCGAATGCTGAAGATACCAATGTAATTTTGCTAAAAAACGTTTCCCTTAAAGTACAGGTTTTCGTGGCAACTTAAACGGTAACTAAAATTCCTGCTTAAGCCTATTAGTTTTATAATTAAGCTAATTGCACATCCTACTAATATTAACATAACGTTTAACGATTTTTTCTGCGGTTTCATCGGGAGACGTCCGTAAGTTTTTTTTTTAACTTAATTGGATTATATGGTAACTATTGGCTGTTTTACCAAAGGATTTTATCATGTTGGTTACCGCTGGTGTGATCGCTTATATGTAGAAGAGGTGTCCTATATAGGCCAGTCCGTGCAGAGTACTCGAAGGCTGCATTCGAGTGTTATAGTTAAAAGTGGTGTCTTGTACTGTATCATCGCGTCGTGATGGACCGGCTTCTGTGTTTTCTAGTCGTATTTGTTGCTTCAATTGCAGGTTCGTTATAATTTATTTAATATTTTGTTGGATTTCTAATTTTATAATTATTTACGAGAATCCGTGCAAAATCTAAAATCACCCGGATTATCTATTTTATAGTCCTTTACATTGCACATTAAGTTTATGTAGTTATTTAGAATTTGCAATTTATAGAGTTAAAGACAGTAATAAGCGACATACAAAGTAAAAACAGGAACGTTATTTATGAGCAGAAACTTTCATCTAAATGATAGCAATTACTTTTTTTTAATCTGCAATAAAATCAGACAGCAGTAGAAGATTTAAATCTTCACGTAGTTGTTATCGGTGGTCAGGTAATACAATTTCTACGCTCGTATTGTGCTTTGTTACACTAATTCTGGCTTCCTGTTGTTACAATAGTCAGTCAACAAACTTTGATTGTCAACACCTTGCGACTGAAAGAAGGTTTACTAATAAAAAATTAGAATACTTAAACTTGCTCTATCATTGTCATCAATTGGCGCAAAATACAAATTTAGAGAACTTGAAATTCCACCGGATTATCTCTTAATATTAAGGCACGGTAGAAAATTATCCTGTCTGCACGAATCTGGAAGCTCTTTCACTGTAATTAATTTCTTCTTGTAATGGTCTCGGCGGCCCCTCGTTTTTTAGCGACCATACGCATTGAATATTCAAATGAATGAAGCTTTTCTTTAATTACGAAATTGCGCTCGCAATAATAATCGATTTGATTTTATAACCGAAATCAATTTCTCACGACAAACCACTTATCAAGAGAAATAACGGGAGAATGGAAATGGTTGCACTTCGCACTTCCCTGTGGTATCAATTATGGTGAACGGTAATTCGCGTGTCGTAATACAATCGGAACTGGATGCACGTTTAGCAAATTTTACCTAAGACGAATTAAAATTAACTTTTTTATTCTTTAATCATCTCTGGCACACTTCTCCTTTAAGCCCCGGGCCCTCTTGTTCCGTATCGTATCTAATGTTGGAATAAAATGGTCTGGTTTCGAAGAGATGATAAATGTGTGCCAATTATTATTTATTTCACAAGCGCCCCTGTGGCACTAATTTTGGTTCTGAATGACGAATTTTTCAGCACGACTCTCAATTTTCCCAATCCGCGTAGAAATCCATTTACACGTACTAAAATTTACCTACCTTTTCCAACGGTTGTACACAATAGTTCAACGTCAGTTCAGTTGACTGACAGAATTAAGAAACTTGATTGGGCTTTACGCAAACCAAATTTCTTCATTCAGTCACTTGCGAGAACTGATGATGATTAGTGATTTTTCGTATGTAATTATTTTTTGAAGATTTTCTACGTACTCGTATTATTCAATAGTATTATATTCGTCCATTAGAATAGAAAAATTAAAATCCCTCAAGATGACACATTGATGACGGTATAATATTATTAATCAATCCCGAGGAAAAATCTGGTGGTGATTTTCAAACTTGTAACTTGAGATACAAGAATACAAATTCTGGAGGAAACTTTAAATTGTTTATGAAAGAATTCAATTATAAACAATAATACTAATAATCAAAACGGTAATTAAAAAAATGTGAATGTTTATAGTTATTTACATAAAAGTCAGGAAAATGTCACTCGGCAATTAAAGTACTCGGCCCCATGAAGTATTTCCTCGCCAGCAATGTCATTTTACTGGTTTTGTATTAAATTTTACCCGAAATCGTGTTTCAATATAACATTTCAATTTTTATACAGAACTTTTGATTACTGTCAATCTGTCAGTGATGACAGTAGTCATTATAGACATTGGGCAATGTCACAGGTGGGGCCAGTAAAGTGATAAGCGCTAGGAAACGTAGTCTGTTCTGCCTCTGTCATGGAAACTAAAATTTCCTGACAGAAAGTAGGCACGAAAATGAAAGTTTCAGGAAGATTTTGGGTAAAATTCTTTTCAATAAAAATTAGTAACCCTTCATTTGCAATATCTTAACAGAACAAGTTATGGAGTTCCTGTTCTTCTACGACGAACTTACCCGGCAAGCTTTCGCCCAAAGGATGACTTTGGTTCTCCTTTGTAAAAAAAATCAATTGGTGTAATCGACAAAATAGAATTTATAGCATATAAAAGAAAATCCAATCGTAATTTGTAAGTCAAGGCGGGTAAATGGCAAGAGTTGGCGCCACCAAGGGATGCTGCACCTTGTCCAGGGGGGTCAAGGTCGGAGTAGTAGCACTCTACGACCATTAGACGAGTTCAACAAAATGATGGCGTTCACGTCTGAAGAACGAACCCCTTCCTACAATTAAATGAACAGAAAATAGCAAATGCTGACCGTCCAAATTAAACGCTACGGTAGTAAATACGGAGACCAAATACTACAAGTGCAACAAAAAGAAAGTAAAATGAAATATTTAATTACGGTACGGTTGCAAAAATAAATTTACGGAAAAGGAAGTCACGAGTTCGTTCCTAAACTTGTCCTGTACTGCATCACTTTTTGTAAGCAACTTTTAACACTTCATTATATTCTATAGGAAGATCTTGAATTTCACTTATTTACTAATTAATTAACGGAGCTGAAATTCTAAAATATTAATTTGCCCTTGTCTTCTAAATGACAAGAGCTTTCCAGCGCAACGAAGATAATTGGAATATCTTGAGGGAACGGTTGCAAACGGCGAATTAATTACAGCTTTTGTTTGCGGTAGCGGCAGCTGAAACACAGCTATAAAAATTAAATCAATTAAATTTACCTTCTATCTTGAAATATCCGTATTATCTGTGGCATGGAATGATTCTGATTTTTGATCACTGCAAATGTAGCAACAGATTGAAGATACTGTCATAAGCGGTTTGAATATATTTTGTAATGTGTAATTGACGAAGTAAAATTTGTAAAATTGAACGTCGGCGCATTAGAAGCCGATGTATTTTGACTTATAACCGACTGTACTGAATGACTAGTTGACGGTCCCGGAACTGGTTCGATCACAGCATTCATAACTTTGTTGGCTATTGCGATTCTGTTATTTTCTGAATCGTCAATGTAACTTTCAGCCACCTCGGTGGACTTCCAACCGCCATGTCTTTTTAACATCGTAACATCTGCACCCGAATCCACAAGCATTGTTGTAGAGGTTCTGCGGAAGCAATGCCCAGTATACTTTTCAGGATCTGGCAGTTGCAAGTAGGTTGCTGCTTATATCTACATTATTGTTCAAAACTAACGTAGACCTCAACATTGAATAAGTTTTCCACAATGTGGATGCTTTGATTTATTGCGATAGTTTGCTAAAGTAAGCCAACACTACATTCTCCGAAAATGAGGTTTTTTTCCTAATCCTCCACTCCAAAAATTTACTGTACGTATGTTCGTACACTGCCTTGGATTTGTTGGGAAGTAAATGTTTGCTTGTTCTGATTCCGCAGTGATTTCCGGGGGAGTATTTGAAAGTTCCATATCCTCACTGCTACTCATTTTCGCGCTATCGATACTTAACATTCAAAATCTGGCGCAAACGTAATTAAATTTTGACCGTTTACTTATGAATGTGATTTAGGATGTCTTATAATAGATGTCGCCACATGTGCTCATTCCATCACAAGAGTTAGAATGAAATTATTCCACTTCGGTTTAACAGAATAGCGGATACTCTGTTGTTAAAAATAAAGCAAGTATGGCGTGATTCTAAGGTAGTAGTAGAAAAAGAACGTTTCGTGTCTTTCAGGTGACGTCACGGGGTCGGTAATGATCCTGTACTTTAATAGTTTCATATTACTTACCAGTGGCAGTTTAAATTATAGAAAAAATGTGTAGTTAGTTATTTTTTATTAATATAATAAGACACATTTATCATTTCTAAGATTTACTAATAACGCCACTGCAATTTCCGAATTACCGAATATTTCAAAAAGCACAAATGCGCATTCGACCTTCCAACGTTCTTTCTCCATGACAGCGGTATCTTGTGATGTGAGTTAAGATGGTATTGCTTTTCCTCAAAACACGCCCCATAAACGGCCATCATCCTGGGATGATAACGTATAACATGAGCATGTGGTACTGTTCATTCGTTAGTCCTTACTAAAAAGTTGAGCGCCACCCAGTTTCTTTAAATGATTTGAGCTGCCTCGTATGAAACTGGGAAGTATTGAAGGAAAGCGATAGAATAAAATAGTTGCAATTTCTGGCAACGAAATAATCTCGTTATTTATTTAAAATTAATAAAATTCGAAAAATTCATCAATAATTAGCAGGCAATTTTACAAAATTTAATTGACATCGTATTTAATCCGTGATGGATTACATTAAGTAAATACACAAGAGACCCGAGTTAATCCGCTCGATCTTTGAAATGCCAATGGTTTGAGGAGTCAAAATACTTGTATTCCGATCAACGCTTGACTGCGTTATCTAACGTGTTGCAATCGCTGATGGAGAAGGCACATACATCATACATGTATATATTGTTACACTCAAACGCCGAATTCGGACAATGGCCGACATTTTTTACTCACAGACAGTGCGAAACACTAACGTTGAGATAGTTTAGTTTATCACATGACCTCATAATATAGGTTCAAACTTCGCTATATTAGGGGAAGGGAAACTGTCAGTCGTTATAAGTCAACCACTTTTCTTTGTCACAAGTCGATTTGGGTATCTTTCAAAATTCCATGAAAATGAACCTTGGTGTAATCCCTTGAAGAGGAATTATCCACTAGTTACAAACTTACATTAATTGAAGGAAATAAATGACCCATTGATCCAATTTCGTTATCAATCAAAAGATTTTTTGGATTAGTTATTTGTTTTTTAATATCTTGTCAGACAAGGTCAGAAAAAAATAAAAACGAAATTGGGTAATTTCGTTGTTTTTCGAATATCTTCGGAACTGATCGGGATTTCCGAATTTTACCAAGCCCTAAAATACGCAACTTTTTTCTAATTTAACCGACTGTGTATCTCTTATGGTTTCCGATTTCCCCATGCTGTGTATTCCTATCTTGGACGCAGTGTAGGTAT